AGCTGGTACAAAAGAAGAGGCAACGACAACAGCATTAAGCAACAAATTTTCCTGTTCAGTGAACAAAATTAGAATAGTCAGATACATTTAATACTAATTAATGCTTTCCTTTCAACATCTATCCATATGCTTCACACATTTTCTGCAACCACCTGTCCTGCACCTTCTCACCCCTACAGGCTACAGGACAAGTTTAGTTGTAAGGGAAAAAGAATTAGGAGCAGCAGCAGCACTGGATAGTAAACAATATAATAACTCCCCTGTTAGTCCTCTTAAGTACAGTAATGCAAACTTGGGTTTATCAAGAATGCAGTAGTAAGATGTCCACTACAATCTTTAATCATTGAGTAAGCGAAAATTCGAGAAACATGACCAGATAAGTTGACTTTCTAAATGGTCAAATTAAATGAATTCTTCATGGCTTGGCTTGATCGTATTTGAAGCCTGGATCAATTCCATGAGCATTTGAAAAAATAAACAATTATGAAAGTTGAGATTGTTGGCTCAACATGTATAACAAATAAGCATGCCTGCATTAAATCTATGAGAGCATCGAAATTCATCTGAGGGAAAAGACAAAGCAACATCAAGAAAATCAAGGAAATGAAGCATACACCCTCTTTATGAAAAGTGTTAACTGTCTTGTTTAGGCACCAAAGAACAAATGAAGGTGTGACAACCCACAAATCCTCAACAGGAAGTCAAATTTTAAAGATAAAAAATAATGACGGCAGTTTTGCTGATAGAAAATGGAATCCACTAGCATGAGTTTTAGTGGGTTGGAGAAGATGAGTGCAACAGCCCACTAAATCACTCGTGCTTTTGAACGAAAACATGTGGAGGAAGCAGTGTTGACTCTTCATGAACAAAACAGTAACGAGGACCTCAAAAGATTTTGGATTAGATTGACGACAACAGAACTAGTGTACATGTATGAAATGAGATTCTTCGACATTTACACTTGGACAAAGACACAAAACTAAAACACTATTACAGTGGAGATAAGGAGCTTTTTGGGCGGAGTAGTAGCCTCTATCTTGTTTGGGAAGATCTCAAGGTCATTCTAAATTCCACATTAAGACTACCTATAATTTTCCCGTGCAAAATATCAAAACTGGAGGACACAACACTAGTCCTAACAAAAATATCCCATTCCTAGAAAATTCAGGAACCATAGTCCTTTTCTTTGAAATTCGGGAACCATAGCTTATATTCCAGCACAAGACATAGATAGATAGACAGACAGATAGATAGAGTGAAAATTTTGAGAATAAGGAAACATAAACAAAAATCATTTTGCCAAGACATTCTGTGGCGAGAGCCACCCACCCATCGGCCTTAGCCCTCTCACTCCCTCGATTATGTAGTTGGAAGATGGGTCAATTCAAGCATAGTGGGCTCAAGCTACATTTCACAATTGCTCAACAAAGGGCAGGTTGTTAAATTCTTTCTTATGCAGTGGAAACTGTTCGGCCACACCAGCATACCTTCCAGGCAGTGTTATTCGTGTCATAATAACTAGTACACCAGAGCTATGAAAATAAGCATTAGGGGGGCAGTTAAACCACATTTTTCTTTTCTGTTTTAAGCAGACCCAGCAACACTTAACCTAAATGAACTGCAACTGAGAAGAAGCTGATCATTTTTACACAGCCTCTAGTGTCTCTTCAAATATATCTTAATCGATTCCCTCCAGGCCCTACTTTATCAGTCAAATTTACATAATGAACACATAATTCGATCTATTTATCAATGCTCCAACATTACACTCAGCATATCACTACAGGAAAAAAAAAAAAAAAAATCCAAATTTCAAACCACTAATGTCCCCTAAGCAATCTGGCAGTCTGGTTCCTCAAGGTCATATTTTCCAAGCATTTAAATGCTGGTGTCCCAAATTGCAGCTCCAAATTTGTGAATTCATTGTCTTTAAAACTCTCCTTATAGTATTGATTAAAGATGAGTGTGAACCCTTGGCTAAGATTCTTAATTGCCTTCATAACAAAGGCTGTGCAGATGATGCTATCACACTTGAAGTTCCTAGTGTCACTTAAAAACCCGCAATAGGAAAAGAACGTAAAATCAGTTTCTCAAGCTGCAAATTGGCTTAACCCATTCAGAACTAATTCTTAAGAACCCACACCATATCTAACACTTCCATTTAAATTTCACTTTCAATTATTTAAGTTTTCATTGATAAAGGCGGCACCGTAAATGTTATTTAAAATAGACAACTCAAAAATAGCGATTTATACAAGAGAGTATCTTCCTCCCCACACCCAGCAAGGAGAAGCTGTTTTTCTGCTTTTCATTCATCAGTCCAGAGACCAACACAAGTTGGGAAGAAACAAAAAGTGAATGATGCAGCCAACAAAAAGATTTAACTTTTATGTGTTTTTGTTTGATTTCATACTCAAAGTCAATTTTGTAATTCCAAATATTTAAAGGTACTTCTATGATTTCAATATTTCTGAAAATTTTTAGGTCTACATTATGTCGTAACCTTTCACCTTCATCCCTCCACCCCCTAAAACCTTCCTTCTTTAGCTTGAACCCCTGAATCCTTTATTTTCCAAGTCCTAGACCACTCTGTACACTGGTTAGTGATAGACTTTTGGCAATGTTAAAAGGAATAGCGAGCACTGACTGTTTGGAAAGAAAGATGCATTCTACTAGTGGAGTTTATTTGCAACAATTTGGTAAGATAGACTCAATGAGACTTGAGTGCAGAAAGTAAAAGAGGAAAAGGGTGAACCAGATCCTTTTTTTTTTCTTTTTTTAGATTTTCTCGCAGCCTATTTTTTCAAGTGTTTAATTTTTCATAGTATTTGCTATGTGGATTTTGTACTCATGTTTGAAGAATGAAGAGTTGGCCTTCATTAACTTCAAGTCTAAAAAGTACTGTTCTGGCACCAATTTCCCTGCAAGAAAGCTGTGTTTATGGTAATAGTTGCAAGATGGATATTTGATTTTTAATTTTCGTGTCTACAGAATGCACCGAAATAACAAGCACCCTAGTGATATCATCTAACCTTTGAATCAGCAAGTCGAGCCATCACAATATGGATATGGTAAAGCTTCACTAGAAAATTGCAGAAGCGAGCATTATTATAAATCTTCTATTAGCCTCAACCTAATATGCATATTTCAAAGAGCAAGGAGATGCTACAAAGGAGAGACATTTGAAGAGTTGTTTACTACTACCACTAAAAAAAAAAAAAATCGTTTGAACTACAATTTTTTTTAAGAAAGATATTTCCACGAAGAAATCAAGTGAAAGAAGCTAATGCTGGTCATCGATAATCCAATGGAGCTATCCATGAAAAAGATTGAACCAACATCCAACAAGTTTCAAGGACAGTAGAATGTAGACACTGCTTAGTTTTAAGCTTGTCAAGAAGAGCTTAAAGAAGGGCACCAGACTGCAATTTTGAATCAAATACCACAGCAAGTAAAAAGACAAGAACTAGTGAAAAATTGAAGCACAAGTTGATGAGGGCATTGATGTTTGGATTAAAGAAAGTTCGTCAAAGACATTGGAAAGGATGAAGTTATAAACAAGATTTGAGCTTGAAGCAGTTCAAGTCAAGAATGAAATTAATCCAATTCTTGCCAATTGTTGATAAAATTTTCCAGGAAAAGTCTACCATTTCAAGTCCAAGGATAAAAGTTCTAATATCTTCGACAAAGAGAGGAAGGTGTCATCAAGTTCTAACATGCTGCTCATATTCAAGTTTTTGCTACCTCGGCACTTCAAAACTCGAGGTAGAGTTTTCTCCAACCAGGGGAGACTGATGCAGCACCCAACACAAAGATTAATTTGTTTGATTTCACTAGTCTAGGTTATTTTTCAGCAATTTTAATATTTGCTGGAAATTTATAGATCTGGGTTTTGATTTTAGTAGTTTTCCACATTCATCCCCAATGCAATTTAAAAATCCTGAGACACTTTCTTCTTGAGCTAAACCATTAAATCCTTTATTTTCAAAATCCTAAACCACCATAATGTAGGACAGAAATCCAAACCTAAACTGTGTCTGCAAGCTAGCCATATTTAGTGCAAAATTCTTCACTCAACCTTGAAGTAATGGAGTTAGCTCCTAAACTTTTTCCCTTTCTAATACATTCAATGTCAAAAAGTTTAGAACATATATCATGCCTGAAAGATAACTATCTATAAGGACTGTTCATAAAAATCTGATATTGCATAGGTCCATTTAATTGTTCTTTCAAACAATAATTAAGCCCAAACCTGGTTAAATATTTTTCTTCCTGAGCTGCAAACCTATTCAACTTGTTTTTTCTCTTGAACATCAGTGGCATTACAATTTCAGGTCAACTGTCTTCTGTTACACCAAACTGCACGGCACCATGCTTGGAGCACAAATGCAATTGCTAATAACGCCTGCATTCTCTAAGCTACAAAAGATCTGCTCAAAATTTCCTCAATTCATGATAAGAAAACAACAATATTTTCTCATGCTTTTACCCTCTTCGACAGCCTAGAGAGTTTCGCACATCAAAGATTAATGGTTAATCCAATTCACACCTACCTATTTTAGCAGGGGAACAACTACAGAAGTTCTTCAGGTATATAGTAGTTCCATTTCATTCATGTAATATTTGGACTCAAGAAAAAACAAATCAAACCTAAACAGTGACAAATGCTAAATTATTGTAAACCTTCCTTCCATTATTTCAGCAAAAAGACTTGATATACAGCGTAGGAAAACAGAGCACAAAACATTATACACACATGTACATCAATCAATTCTTAAAAAGGTGACGATGAATACCTGATCATCATTTATAAGCTGACATCTTACCCACTCAAAAACCAAATGTTATACCTAGCTGGTTATCATACATAAAGAGTCAGAACTTAAACGGGACCAATAATGCAACACGGTTTCACACTTCAACAGCATCAATTACTGCAAGTGCAATTCACTATAGCAAGTCTAAGGCTAGAACGAATCGAATTCAAATGCCTCCACATCTCAAGAATTAGAACTAAACTTCTCGTTCTCGACTTGGAATCTATAACTCCCATCCAGTTGCAAACTCATATCATAAACTTGAGACTTGGAATCTCTCCCATTCTGCAAAACTTTATTCCTACTAATCCTACCATGTCTTTTACTCCTATTAATCCTATTATCACGACCAGCACCACTGTTAGTAGTGCCCCCCACCCTTTTCTCTTTCTCAAAACCAGCTTGCCCTGAATCAAATGCATTAACACCACTCCCAAATCTCCTCCTACTCCCCTTCTTCCTGTATTTACCACTAATTCTCTTTGCAGTCCTCTTATCCATCCCCAATTTCCCATCAGAATTCTCCCAATATTCGCTATCTGAAACTGACCCATCTTCAATTTCTGATAAATCCAAAGAATCACCCCTACCTAATTTCTCATTAACGGACATTCCATCATTCATCTGATATTCATTTTCGGCTTCGCTTTCGGTATCGGAATCCGGCGTGCCAGCACTCAATTCACCAAACCCAGAAGCAGAAACCTTACCATAAGGTTTTACACTATGAACGACACCTTTAGGGAAAAATCTGGCGGAAGGAACCCCATCCGGGGTCTCAAACAATTGGGGTCCATCTCTTTCACTCCACAAATCAAACCCACCTGGTTTCTGAAAGCGGTCAGCCAAAACCTTAACTTGTTCATCAGCACCGACAGAAAACAACTTGGGTGCTTTGTCAACAACCTCCCAAGGACGCTCTAATTCAGAAACAGCAGCTTTGAGCTCTGCCCTTTTTCTCATTTCGTAAATTTGTCTCTCCCGGCAAAGCCTGGCTTTTAGGAGTTGTTTAGCTTTATTTTTTTGCATTCGTTTCCATTGCCACTTGGAGACTCCTCCTGGGTAGGTTCTTGGGCCTCCGCCCATTCGAATTGTTGTGGTTTTGCGAGGGAGAGTGAGGCTCAAGGGTTTTGGGAAGAAGAGAGGGTTTTGGGATGAGAGGTTTTTAGAGAAAGAAAGGTGCATTGGGATTGAAAGAGACATTGAAATTACTATTAAGGTTTTAAGGATGATTGTTTCTTTTGGATTTTGCAGTTTAACGAAGGAAAGGAATGCGGTGACGGGTGTGGAGTAGGAGCAGGAGGAGGAGGGGGAGCTGCATGTGGCGTTTGAATGCTTTAGTGGATGATATTATATTTTAGTGGTATATAAGTTTTTTTTATCACGTAATGTTACATGACACATAAAATTATTTTTTAAAAAATTATTTTAAATTAATATTTCGTATTATATTATATATTTATTAAAATATATTAAATCAAAATTAAATAAAAAATTATTTAATTTTTTATTCAAAATTTTATATTTGATTGATTATTTTTTATATTTTTCATAATTTTTTTATTAAAAATATTATTTATTTATCTCTATCCACAAAATAAAAAATTTATAATGATAAAAATGTCAAAATCAACAAATTTTTTGTTAAAAACTTATTTTATAAATTATTTTTTAAAATATTTTTTTCTTTAAAATTTTTAATTAAAAAATCAGAAAAAAAGGATCAAAATGATTAAAATAAAACAAAAAAGAGGAACCAAAATTAAATAAAAAAATATTTACATATTAAAAAAATAAGACCAAAGTATAATATCACAAAAACTTTCATAATAAATATCTTTAAAATATTTAAAAATTACAAAACTATTACTATATAGTGAAAATAATAATGTATTATAATTTTGATGAATAATGCAAATAAATCTATATAAACAGTATTTCAAATAGTATAGTGAATAGTAATCGATCGTTTTATTTTATTTTTTTTGTTAATTATCTATACATGTAAAATAATTTAGAAAAAAAAGGTATTAGCTAATATTTATGTTATTAATTAATTGGAAAATGTGCATTTTTTTAATCATAACTTTTTTTGAGTTTCATTAAATTGAGTTTGTTCTGTTATGGTGAGTAATATGAAATAGGTAATTCGAAAGTTTTATTATCAATGTTATCACTATGTTCTTACAAAAAAAATTTACTTATATTATCTCAATTTATAATAGATATAAGTAATATTAGGCCTTTTTTTATGAAATTTCTTATGGTAAAAAAAAAAAAAAAAAAGACGTGCTACACTATTCTATAATGTTTATGTTTAAGTTAATTTATAAAATAAATATTCTACAAGACCCCAAAAAAAAATGAAAAACATTTTAAAATTTCAGTTTATATTACTCTTATTATTTAAAATTCATTATTTTAATTTATTTTTTTATGAAAATTCTCATCCAATTAATATTTTTATATAAAATTTTTTTATTGATAAATATAATTTATTTTTCTCTATGTTTAAATTTTAGAATAAAATTTTAAAACATGATTGTTTTTTCTTTTTTAAAAAATAAATTGGTATAATATATATCATGAATTCTTAAAAATTTTAAATGATAATTGCACATATATAAATATATAATTATGTTATTCTAAAAGGTTAAAAGAGTATTTCAAATAATTTTTTTTAGTTAACTAGGTGCAATTAAAACGTATAAAAAAGCTATGGAATCATTGTTTTTATTAAAAATTAACTATACATTTTTCAATATAAGACAAATTATTATTATGAATATTTTTTTTAACTTTATAGAATCAATTTACTTAAAATAAAATAATTTTTTAAAGGAATCAACCAATTATTTAAATACAGTTTTTTATGCTAATTTTATTGATTATTTTGTATATATATATATATATATATATATATATATATATATATATATATATATATATATATATATATATATCAAATGCATATGCTTTTAAAAAAAATCTTCTCACCAACATTAAATAAGAATAAAATTTTATTTTTTCATTGGTTAATTTTTATGTAAGTCTATATATTAATTGTAACTTTATTTTTTGGATACATTCTTATAAAAATATATATATAATTTTAAAGATTTTTGTTAATTCTTAATTAATATTTCAAGTTTAAATTATTACAAATTTTTATTTAAGAATTCTTGAATAAAGAAGAATAAATCATGTCTTTTAAGCATAAATTTTTTTTGAAAAACAAACAAAAAATAGTAATAATTAAATAAAAATTTAATGAAAAAATTATAAAATTTTGAAATGATTTTGAAAAAATTAATCTTTTCATTAGCATTAAATAATATATATTTTTTTCATTTTTTAATTTTTGTAAAAGTTTGTCCATTAATTATAACTTTATTTTTAGAATAAAATATTATAAAAAATATATTTTTAAAATTTTTTTAATTCTTAATTAATATTTTAGTTAAAATTATTATAATTTTTTATTTTAAAATTAATCTTTAAACAAGAATTATTTATGTATTTTTAAACAAAAAAATTATAAAAAATATTTAAAAAATTAATTAAATAAAAAATTATAATTAAAAATTTTTTAAATAATTTTATTTTATCGGATTCACAATTTAGCGTGGGTAACTCACTAGTATCTAACTAAACGAGATATCATGCATCATGAACAGTATATTGGTTGAGTGGTCGGTGACTGCTCCTTTGGTCAAGGAGTCTTGGATTTGAAACCCAGTAGAGGCAATTTGTCTCTTCGATTTCTTCCATATAGGAGTAACCTTTTATGCGGGCTTGACAGCCCATCAAGGCCCAAGTGTAACAATCTTGACCCAACAGAAGTTTTATTTAGCTAGCCCTTAAACCTAGCCTTCTACAAAGTATCAAATCTGTCCTTTTTCTTTCTTTTATTAATTTTTCTTACATCAATTTTACCTAAATATATAAGAGAAAAGCTAGAAATCACATCAAGCACAGGAACAGTAGTGAAGACTAAACAAGATAAAAAATAAATAAATGATCCTTGAATATTTTGACTGGAAGCTGGAGAGAGACTACTTGTTTTCTACTTCTACTCTTTCGTAAAATTGGAATAGCGATGGGTTAGGTCGGTCGAGAAACGTCTTTTATGCATCCGCATCCAATCCAATACGCTCTTAAACATCATCCGTACCCAATCGAATTGGGTTTGATAAGAAGTTTCTTTCACGTGTGGATTGTGGAGTGCCCGACCCGATCCGGCTTTGTCATACATTTTTTTATAAACGTTTCTTTAAATGTTTTTTTAACATCTCACAAAAAAAAACGCATAGTAATAAATTAGTGAAATTTTTATGTATAATTAGTAATCTTATTTTTCTAATTTGCATTTTAAATATTAATATTAGTCATTAAAAAATATAGAATCATAAAAAAATAAATATAATTTAATAGTTGTATATCCGTTAGTTATTTTTTAATGAAATAGGTTCAAGTTCTAACAATTCTAATTTATTTGTATATTATATAATAGGGAAAGATTACTCCTATTGTGTAGTTTAAGGCCTACAACCCTATCGATAAAAAAAAAAAAAATTATGTTTCACAATTTTTTTTATATTTAAAAATCACATATATAGTGTTTTTTTATAGAGAGATATTATATATAATACTAAGAGATGCTAACATATTAATTTTACATATTCTTAATTAATAATTATTAAGTATCATTACTATTTTACATTCTTAATTAAAAATAAAACTTCAATTTTCAATTATAAAGTAAAGTTAGAAACTTAGATTCATTTTTATAGGATTTGCAATATAATATCGTAATAATAATTATAAATATTAAAAAATTAAAAAAAAGTCTTGTTATTTATAAAATAAAATTTAGTTAAAAGATAGAGGTCGGATGAAAGATAGATTTTTATAGAATGTAAGTCTTTTTTTTTAATTTAGTTCTTGTAATTTAATAAAACTCAAAAACTAATCCTTATAGTTTTATGCATTGTTTAAAAGGGTAAGCCCAAGTGAAAGTTTTACGTCCAAACATTAATTGACACAAAATCCTTGCAAGTATTACGCAAGTGGGTATAGTCTCGATTTTTTTGCAGATAAAATTGGGTACCTACAAAAATTAATCATAATTCATTTATTGTATCAGAATTTACACTCAATAACTTTTCTATCCATATATATATTTTACCTAGCGGATCTCTCTATGTAAATTACAATTAATTCTTGAATTACTCTTGAAGGCTACCTCTAGGCATCTTACGCACCGTTTACTCTTTTAATCACACTTCTTCTACAAATATTTACCACGCTAGAACTAGACATGATATATTTCTACCCATATAAAATTTACACTAAAAAGATACTTAATTTGTATAGTATCAGGGAGTTAATTGATAAAATATCTTCTTCTTTTTTTTGAGAAAATTAAATTATTTTTTATTAGTTTTGCAAAAAAAAAAAAAAGAAAAAAGGTAAATTAACGTCATTGATAAATAAATGAAACGTAAAAGAGGTAATTTTAGAAAACATTCTTCCGGATAGATTTTTTTTTTTTGGCTAAACCTTTTGTTTCTAGGAGTCGGCATGTGGCAAGGCAGCTAGTTACTTCAAATTCCAAGTCACCATAACGTCTTTGCAATTTGGGATCCATTAATTTGAATAAATTTTCTTTAATCCCAACGATTTAACTTGAATAACTAGTGATCTAGTGGTAGAACAGTACCCTGCTACGGTACAGACCCGGGTTTGATTCCCGGCTGGTGCAAAATTTTCAATTGCATTTTTTAACCTAGATCTTACAAGATTGCCAAAGAGTAATTGCATCTTTTTAACTTACATCTTACGACGTTGCCAAAGAGTAAACGCAGTCTTACGTTTTTAATTTTATCCTATTTTAAGCTGAAATTTTCAAATTTCGAGTCGATAGTTTCTGCTTATGATGTTGCCAGTGACGTCTAACGATCCACTTGGTGTAAAACTTGCAATTAGATCAGCCACCCCAGAGAACAACTTAATCACTGACTTCTACACAGGTCATGGCATGGCCTTACGAGCCAGGGCTCTCACTTTTCAGAGACCTCTCTGCTTCTGCGAATCACCAACATGTTACCCCACAGGGTTTGGCAATCACTATTTAATTAGCTGGCACAGGATCTCCAGCAAGCAATTCAGGTTTAAAAATGACTTAGCAATATAATGGCATAATCAAATCACATTAATTTCCATACTTCAAAAGACAGGAAACTGACATCAACCTTCTTAATCAATTAAAACTCTGCTATTGTCTATTGATCCCTAGGCGTCCAAACCCTCGATTGCCTCCTATATATACAACAGGCATTCAATTATTTATTCTTTCCTCTCAAGAAGTACTAGTACTATTACATTAGAATTATGAACTCTGAATGTCTTGTCTCAAGTTTTGAAAGCACTCATCGTGAGTGTAGATTTCCAAGTTTCCATGTGACATTAAAGGTTATTGACTCAAACATTTATGTACAAAAATCACAATGACACTCACTTGCAGACATGCATATGTTCCTCGATCATAATATGTTACGTCCAGTATCATTGCACCAAACAATTTTAGTACTTCATTCAGCATGGTGTTTTATTTGAGTAGGCATTTGCGCATGAAATTCCATGGGCATGTAATAGCATGTACACTGCATTTGCCTAGACCGTCAGCAAGAATTAAATCCTGTAAAAATCTAATTCCCTAATTTATTGCTTCAGAATGTTTTCAGACAACAGATATTTCTTGCATTTAGGGTCAACAACATGATGTTAATTTTGGTCTGTTCAATCTTTTTCTCTCAAATTTGCAATTGATAATTACGGAGGCTGAATCATAAGAGAAGTACGGATAAAGACAAATATAGGGGCATGATAGGTATAATTAGTTTAGCGATATGGGATTACTTTAATTATATTCTCCCAAGTAAACAAGACATGTTCCAGTCTTCCAAACAACGCCTGAGTCAGGCTACGAATTTGCTGTGTGAATGTGAATCTGTCTACACAGATACAGGGCATAACGTCATGTAATTAGCCTTTTTCCAAACTCATCATGTGGCACTTTCTTCACTTCTTTTGTAAGCCGAATCAAGTCATCTTTTTACTCATATTAAGTTGTGAAGTAAGAAAGTAACACAAGAGATTTTATATTACTCTCCAATACTAATAACTCTTAGCCCAATCTTGTTGGTTGGCACTCACAAAGCGCCTCACGTATGTCATTAGCAATGCATTAACCCACTCGATCCGTCCATCCGTCCGCAAGTAGAAGCTTGCGGAGTAGTACAACTTTAAATCCATCATTGCAAAGAGTTTAGTCCACAATTTTCCATTGAATGAAGATCTTGATCAATGATAATATACCGACACACCTAAATATTTCACCACATGCTTGAAGAGTAATCTGGTGGTGTTTCTACTATCACATTTGTTAGGATCGGTATAAATATCTCGTACTTGAAGAACTTGTTCACGATTACGATGATGCTTCCAAAGACCTTGGACTTGGGTAAAGCCACAATGTCCATGGTCACTATCTCCCACGGTCTCTCTACAATAGGCAAGAGCCATAATAGTCCTCTAGGCACTCGATTTTTCATTTTTTCTTACCGGTACATAAGACATGTCCTAACATAGGACTTTACATCATTGTGCAACTATGCCTAGTAGTGTGCTCCTTCTAATAATATCTTGGCACATTGTTGTCTTAGATGTCTAGCCCACATCGACTTATGACATTCTTTTATTAGGTCTCATTGTAGATTTTCTCGCTTAAGAACGTAGATTCTCCTTCCTTCTATGTACGTAACGCCATTCTCTTCCCAAAATTTTTTAGTTTTGCCCTCCTTGGTAAGGGTCGTCAAGATGGCGATAGGATCATGCTCCATTTCTTCCTTGATCCTATCCATGATCTCCTCATATATTTGTGTCATGTGATGGAACTTGGCCTTCCTCCTAAGAGCATCTACGACTACATTGGCCTTGCCCCGCTCATACTTTAAGGTATAAACAAACTCGAAAATAAATTCTTATCAACGAGCTTGCTTCAACATCACTTTTTATGAGTTTGAAAATAACTTATGGCTATATTATGAGTCTTCACTATGAAATAAGAGCCAAATAGATAATGCTTCCAAGTATGTAAGTAATGCACCACTATAGCCATCTCCTTCTCTTGCATTGAATACCAACATTTAATGCCAAATGGCTTCCAACTCTCATAAGTTATAGAATATTATTCATGCATCAACATGCCACCTATAGCAAAATTAAAGGCATCACTATATAGCTCATATGGCTTGATAGGATCTATCAAGCTTAATACCGGCTCTTTGGTGATAACTCTCTTTAACTCCTTAAAACTTATAACACTAAACCATCCACTCACATGTCTTATTCTTCTTTAGTAAGTTAATGGTAGTTGTTGTCTTTTTTTAGTAGTTATGGATAAAATAACGATAGTAATTTACTAATCTAAAGGAAGAATGAAGCTCAAACACCTTAGTTAGCTCTTCTTATTCCAAGATAGCTTTAACCTTAGCCGCATCCATCATTAACTTTCAGCTTTTAATCTTCTTCTTTTTTTGTAAAAGACACTTCTACTTTTTGACATACAACTCATTCTCTTTGGTTTCTTGAATACGGCATGTAAGTGGCCCATATGTTCCTCCAACATCAAGATATAAAACCACAATATAATCAAGATAGACAAATATAAACCGGTATAGGTATGCCTAAAATACTTTGTTCATTAAGGTGCAAAAGGTAGATGGGCATTCGTAAGACCAAACGACATAACAAGAAATTCATATGAGTCATACCTTGTCATGCACACATCTTTAGCATATCTTTTATAGATATTTAAACTTGATAATAACCGAATCTCAAGTCAAGCTTGGTGTAGAAATGAGCTTTTTCTAACTGGTTGAACAAGTTAGCTATCAATGGAATTACATACTTGTTCTTTACCATGACCTTACTCAATTCCTAAAATTCTACACATATTCTTAGAAAAGTATCATGCTTTTTTTGAAACATTATGGGTAAGCCGACACGAGATGGCTCCTCCTTTAAGCATGATTATATGCTTTATGTCACCATGGCCGAAAGTTTTGGCTTTTATCGTTTAATTTTATGTTTTTTTATTTAATTCCCATATGAATTAGATTATTATTAGTTAGGTTTTATTTTATGTGTTGGACTTGGGCTAGATTATTAAGTTCTTATTAATTAATTATTTCCTAAGTTTTAGGGATTACCAAATGATGGTGGATTGATAATCCTTTTGTTTTGTGAATTCCCATCTTTTAGAAAAAGGTTCTTAATGGGTCCTTGTAATATGTGGATTCATAATTAATTGAAATAAATAAGAATAAGTCCTAAATAAATATAGATTACATAAGTTCATTTATTTTAAAAGAGGAGGTCCGGTATAGAGGAGAAATTTCTACCCTACCCGAATTCTACTAGGTTTTATGAGTAGTATTTAAACATCTTACATGCATAATTATAAAAGCTTTTGGTTGAAATATTTAGTAAACCTAGTCGAATTTAGAAGCAATAAAATTTATATTTCTTCTTTCAAATATTTGATTTTTTTCTTACCTTAGACTAGACTATGATTACTTGAAGTATATTATTAGAGTGATTTCCTAAGGTAGGTTTTAGATTATTGCATGCAAGAGCTTGGGATTGTGGTTTAAAGAATTTTGACGTGTTTATCCCATAAGTGCCTCTTACTCTACATTGATTTGGAACTTAAACTAGTTCTAGGGTTAGATAATTAGACTTGTATGATTTTATAATAACCGTAGATTGGCTTGCATAAACTAGCTAACATAATTCTTAGAAATTATTCTTTGAAACTTTATGTGTTTGAGAGGCTAGGATTATCCGTTATGGATAAAAATTTACATAGACCTTCTACTAAACCTTTTATGGTTGTTTATAAAATTTAAAGATACTTAGAGTTTCCTTGAGGGGTGATCGACTTCAATTTCCTTGTTGTAATTTTCAAACAATATAAAAACAAACTTAGATACATGATTTCAACTGACCTAAATAAGGCCTTAGATAATTTTTTTTATTTAAAATTTGTCATGCTTATACTATTGTATGTTAGGTAGATTATGGAAAATTTTTAGCTTGTTTGGCCTAGGTTAGCTTAGGGAACACCTAAAACCTAGTCGGGTAGCTTTAGGTGCCTTATTTGCTAAATTTGTTTTGTATTTGGAATTGGGTAGAGGATTTGATTATTATAGATTTACAACATAGTTTATGTGTTTATTGAGGTAGAATATCCTAGAGAGGATTCTCTCTTGTGATTTTTATTGAGCTTCGTAGAGTTTTGAGACATCACGTTCACCAACATTAGTTTCGTATCATAGTTTTGGTTTGGCTTCCGTAATGTGATTTAATAGAAATGAAGATTTCTTTAAGAAAGAAACTACCAAATAGGATGACCTTGAAAGATATACAAAAGTTATTAAATAATTACAGTAAGATAATGAAGAGTTTTGATAGAGAATCATGATTTGAAAGCACTTAGAAAGGAGAATTAGGACAAGAGGTCGTAGGTAGAGAGGGTAGGTGAAAGGAAAATTAAGAAAGGGAATCCCTTCTTTATATTACAAACTAAGTCTTCTAAGGAAGAAAAGGTGGCATCTTAAGTTGAGAGACCTCAAATGGATCAAAATCATGACTATAAAATAAAGCTAAAAATTCTTAAGTTTGAGGGCGAACTTAATTTG